GGGAACCGTCCGTTAGTTCCATGGATCCACCCGGGAACCAGACCGCCGGTCCGGTCCGGTTCCCAGGTGGGTCCACGGAACTGGTCCCATCAAGTTTCACGCAAATGGAGGTGACCAAGAGTGAAAGAGGAAGGCGATGAACGGCTATAGGCGCGGTCGTGAGTTGATGGGAGTTGAGAGTCGAGCTTCAAATTAGGGATTTTATGGTTTTCAATTTTTTAAAAATGTTTTCTTTTTTTTTAGTTGAAATTTTTCTTAAAAATAATATATATATTACCGGTCCAGTCTGTAACAGTCTGAATTTTCGATCCTTTTCCCGGGATTTAGGAAATGAATTTGATCAATGCACTTATAGTGAGATCTCACCCGGAAATGCGCATTCTCGGGATGCTAACCTTAGGGGTAGGGCCGTTACGGGATTGAGTTCGCACGACCAAAGAACTCGACCTGGGTTCGATCTTCGACCATATGGATTGACGAGGGAATGTTTTGAGCCAACCGAGACCGGTCTACTTGATTGATCGTGTCCAAGGGAACTAGCGACAGAGACCTTCGCAATTATATGACAACCGAGGTCGTCTGGGTGGAGTAAACTTAAACGTGATTTGACTTAGTGTCGGTCACGGGTCGAGAGCGCGTAATTCCAAAGAGCCACCCGTTAGCCAGAGATAAGCTCAAGTCGCGATTGTTCAATTTTAGTCATTTCTTAGAATTCGGGCAGGGAATCGAGAATTTTGAAAGTGACAATTTTGAATGACCGATGACGTTTTGGCTTGGCCAACCTTGGGGCCACCCATTTACTGCAAAAAATGGATTTCGGTCAGGGCGGAAAAATTACGGTTTGCCCTGTGGGCACCGAGGCTGGATTCGGAGGCCGTTTGAGGTTATTTTTCGCGGCCAAGGTCATTTTGGGGTGGCCACGCACATTCAGAGTGGTTTTGGCCAAAAATTGGAATTTCGACAAAAATTGAAAAAATAATATTATTTTATTCCCGAGACTTTGACGTGGATTTTCGAGGGCTTGCGCGATGAATTTCGCGATTCCGATGCCATATTATGTTGGCCACGCACATATGGAACGCGTATGTGCGAAAATTGAAATTTCGGTTCGGGATCGAAAAATTACGAAAATGCCCCTAGGCCTATTTTCCTTTATTCCGAATTTTGACCAAAATTTGGGGACTAACCAAGGTCAATTAGGCTAAACCAGGTCTGGTGAGCCTTGGGTTAGGGACAAATGACCAATGGGCCCTTAAATTATTAGATAAGATCAATTGGTGACCCTTGGATCAAGGGCAAAGTTGTCCAAACCCTTGGATTTTTGACACATGGATCCCACTAAGCTATCTTTGACCCATTTGACCAGATTGTCTTCTCTCTCTCTCTCTCATTTCCTTGTTTTGCCGAGAGCTCCCCCAAATTCTTCTCCCCTTTTTGTTTAGTTTACGGATTCTAGCAGTGGGCATTCTGCTCATCCTCACAGTGCTTGATTCGCCTTGCCGGAACGATTACCGGCCAGGCTGTTTGGCCTCCCACAGCCCGTCGCCCACGACACCCTTGGACCTCCCTCTCACTGTTCGGCCACCTCGGCCCGGTTTCAATCCCGGATCGGCCTACTCTCTCTCTTTTTCTCTCTTCCCGTTACGTGCGATCTGGCGGGAGCTTCGCGGGCTCCGTCGCCGTTCCGTCGACACCGGCCGTTCGGCATGTCCATATGTCGCCGTTCATCCCGGTCCGTACTGCGACCGTGCGATTCTTGTTCACCCCCCGTCGGTCCTTTGTTCATCTCGGCCAAATACGGCCAGCGTCCAGCTTGGCCGTCTGGCCACCTCGCCTCAGCGACCACAGGTCCCGACACTGTCCGTACAGCGTCCGTACGGTGTGGTGCATTCACCGCGTCCGTCTGGGTACAAACTTTGTTCACACCCCGTCCGTGCATCGCCGTAGCCCTTCTTATTGTCCGGCCGTTCCGGCCAGATTACGTCTCGCCTTTTTGGGTAAGTGTTTTCCCCAAATGTCATTTAGGAGTTCGGGTATCGTAGGGCATGTTTAGGGTTTAGTTCGGGTAGTTTATGTGGCTATTTTAGGTCTAAATTGAAGGCTGATTGTGTGGTTGTTGTGGGCTGAATCAGAGACTGAGTTGGCAAGGAAATTTGCGAGGTTTAGGAGGCTCGATGATGGTTGAGGTGTTGTGGATTGATTATGGCCGAGATTGTGCGATTGATTGGTAGAATTATGCCTTGAATGGCACTTTGTATGTGGTTGTGTGGCTCGTGATGGTTGGCTGGTTTGGTGTGTGTTTCGGGCTGAATGTGGCTTGGCCGTGTGCCTCGTGTGTGTGGCCGTGAGGTGTGTGAGTATGGGAGTGTGAATGTGCATTAAATTCGCGTGCCAAGAGCGTGTGGTTAAGTGGTGCGTGTTCGTGTGACGAGAATGCGAAATTATGGAATGTGTGTGAAGTGTGTATGTTTGGTAGTGTGTTTGTGTGGTGGCGTGGTACGTGTGGAGAGTGTGGAACGAAGGTTTGGAAATGTGGGATTGGTTGGAAAGGATCCGTCCTGAGGCGTGTACGCTTACGCGGGACGATGCCGTCCCTGACGAGGTGACGATGCCGGCCCGACGGGTGTCGATGCCTGACGTGGTCGAAAGGCCGTTGGCACGATGCGTTTTACGCGGCGCGGTAGAAGGAAAATGTGTGTAGGATTACGTCGAGGCGTGTACGTTTACGAGGGACGATGCCGTCCCCGACGCAGGTGACGATGCCGGCCCGACGGGGTGACGATGCTGACGAGGTCGAAGGCCGTTGGCACGATGCGTTTTGCGGGCGCGGTAGTGGTGGAAAGGTTGAGAATGAGTGGGATTTGGCAAGACAAGCGAGAGGATTGTGGAAAGTGACGCATGGTGTGAGTAGCGTGCGAGTGTGTTTGTATTGCGCGATGTGATGCTTAATTATGGGGTAGAAACTGCTAGGCACGGTATGGGACGTGCCCAAGTGGTTTTGTCTTATAATTGAGGCACGCGACGTCTGTGATTCCTTCTTTGTGATGTGTTGGCTGTGTTATTGTCTAACGTGCAGGAACGTGCGTGATGGATTCCAGGTAGGGTCGCATGTGATTGTTAGTTTGGCCGATCGTTGTGTGTTATGTGTATTTTCGTCTAGCGGTACGTGAGTGCCTACGTGGGGTTTGGGGTTGTACACTTATTGAGATTCGTCTCACGGTTGTATAACCGCCACTTTCAGACCCCCGGCCCTAAACCCGGGAAGTGTACCTTTTTCTTTTTGGAAGTCCGGGGAGGCTGCTTTGTTGGTGCCCGGTGGAGGCTGCGGTGAGTTCGGAGATTCAAGCCGAGGAAATTCGAAGCGAGAATAGAAAAGGGCGACCCTTAGGTTTTCCCCTAGGGTGATTTTAGGGGGTTGTATAACTTGAGTTATCCGATAGTGAAGTTAAGATAACCAAACCCACTGAACTTTTGTTTAAACGGTGATGAGGATGTTAGTACGTATTTATGTCCGTAATATGATGTTTGTATATTTGGTGTTGTATGAATATGTGGTTCTTTGGATTGTTCACATTGTTCTACCCCGTTGTCGTCATTATTTGTCCAGGGTTTTGTTATTCGCTTCCGCATGTGGCTACGATGTTTGGGTTGGGTCGGCAACGTTCCTGGGACGTCGCATCATTTCGACCGAAGCAGGGGATGTCGCGAGCTCGATGGGGTTCGGGGCGTGACACAGTCCGGATGGGCGGATGGGCGGTTTGCTTCTTCTCCTGCTGCATCTTCTTTTGTTTTTCCATTTCGCGGATACGATTTTGAAGTGTAACAATATCACTCCGACCTTTAGACCCAGCGAGCTGTATCCAGAATATCCTTTTCATTCATCCTAACAAATTGTCACGGGTGTTTATTTGTCACATATGTACCAATTTAGGATTTTTCGTGATAAAAAAATTAGCTTTAGGTAAATTTGTCATAGGTATATCAGTTTGGGGTTTTTTGTTGTCAAAAAATTAGTTTTGGGTAAATTTATAACAGATGTACCAGTTTGAGGTTTTTCGTGGTATTAACCCTTTTCCTTAAGATAAAATGGTTTTTTTACAGTTTGGTTCTTAACTTGAACAAACGATGTTCAACTTCAAAATACTACTGAACCTGATTTTGTTTTTGGCTTTTTCCAAGTGCAAGGTGCGCCGGGCTTTGAAATAAAATGAAATGATGGAGAAATTTAACTGTGAGGAGTAAAATTCTTGGAAATTAAAGTCCACAGGAAAAGTGGACTTTGAGGAAATGTAGATGCTACGAAAGTAAATTAAACGAACTTACGGTGAAATTGCATCTTTTGGTCTCTATCGCTTCCTCTCTCATGCCCCGACAGCTCTCTCTCTCTCTTTTCCTTATTTTCTTTTTACATGCTCTTCGACAATCTGCCTCCTCTGTTCTTATTTTTCTCCCTTTTTTTCTGCCGAGCACTTCCCTTTTTTTCTCTTCTTTTTATTAAAGTTCTCTCTCTTTTGCCGACCATAACCCTCTCTCTGTATTTCTCTTTCTTGGCCGTGGAGAAAAGCTCCATCCTTTTCATTTTCGAGCTATCTTTAGCGATGATTTTTTTTTTTGGTCAGAAATATAAACTGCTCATTAATAACTTGTAAATAAAGAACCCACAGGCGGGTGCCAAACAGAGCAAATCTGCAGGGCGCGGAGAGCGGGTCAGCCAATTTCTCGGTGAGTGCCTTTTTACTGTGGGTCTTGCTACCCAGTCAGCTACACTATTTTTAGCCCTATTACAAAAAATAAGCTTAATGTTAGAAAAGCTGGAAACCAGGTCACGGGCTTCACTTATCAGTACGTGCTGTTCCCACGACAGGTTTTCTACAGAATTGACACTTCTCATTAAACCTAGACAATCAGACTCCAGAATAAGCCTTTCCCCTGCACGTGGAGAGAGGAATTTCAGCGTTTCCACCATAGCTTCGCTTTCTGCTTTTTCTATGCCCAGATTTTCTTGTTTTCTTTTGGCTGTGAATTCCGGTCCCTGAATTCTGTTCCCACTCGCGACTCCCACGCTCTCCACCCACACGCGCTGGTCTCCAAATTAGGCGGGAAGACGGAAGAGCTCGAACCCTAGAATTCTATTTCATCCTCAATTTCAACTGCAATTTGATCTCTCTCCGAAAATGGGCATCAAGGTAGTTCCTTACCTCCGTCTTCTTCAATCCGATCATTTCCCATATGATTGTTAATTGAATCGTCCGTTGATTTCGATAGGGACTGACGAAGCTACTGGCGGACAATGCCCCGAAGGCGATGAGGGAGCAAAAGCTGGAGAGCTACTCCGGCCAGAGGATCGCCATCGATGCCAGCATGAGCATCTATCAGTTCCTCGTTAAGTGCTTTGCTTTTTATGGATTGATGCCTGTGATTGATTGCACGTTTCGGTGTCGGTGGAGATTGGATTTTGAGTGTTGGTGGTTTTTCGGTCTTTGATTGGTGGATTAGATTGTGGTTGGGAGGAAGGGGACTCAGATGCTCACCAATGAGGCTGGTCAAGTCACCAGGTACTGCTACTGGCATCGCAATTCTTCAAAGAAATGAAAATCCACTTGGCTCAAGTTTCTGTTTTGATGCTTCAGATGTTATTGCGTGGACTCGGTTTCATGTATGTGATCTTTATGCTTGGGAAGTGTTGACTTTGAGCTGCTTTTTGATTTGTCTTCCCATGTAGTCATCTGCAAGGCATGCTTTACCAGACGATTAGGCTGTTGGAAGCGGGGATACAGCCAGTGTAAAATACTCGTCTTTACCTCCTCTGTTTTCATTGGGATGCAATGCTAAGAAGAATGAAGCTCATCTTTCTCTGAATTACGCTTTACTGTTTGTTACGATAGCTACGTGTTTGATGGTCAACCTCCTGATTTGAAGAAGCAAGAGCTTGCAAAACGGTACTTTATTATTATGTAGCCTTCTATTCTCTCGTTTTTTTAAAGTATCTATGAATACGTTTAGTTACCTTTAATGAGTCTTAGCAGTTTTTTGAAGAGGGCAGATGCCTCTGAGGATTTGGCATTAGCCATTGCGGTATACGTGCATCTCTCTCTCTCTCTCTCTCTCAGGCACAGAGTACAAAAAGGCTTAGTGAACTCTGTATTTATTGCCTGCAGTCTCAGAACAAGCAAGACATAGAGAAATTCAGTAAAAGAACTGTGAAGGTTTGTCTTTGTTTGGATCACTTCCTTACAGTGCAATCTTTTTGTCCTGTTCGATGTGAAGTTTGATTTTGTCTTTGTTTTCCAGAAGAACCTATCTACGTAGCTAACTGGGTGTGTGTGGACTTGTGGTACATGGCTTTGATACCCTTGCAGGTGACACAACAGCACAATGAAGATTGCAAAAGACTACTAAGACTTATGGGTGTCCCACTAGTTGAGGTTACTATTCTGTCTGAAAAAGTTTGTTCTTTTTTTTTATTTCTAACAAAAGTTTAGATATCAAATTCAGGTTTTGTATGTTAGGCTCCTTCAGAAGCAGAAGCACAATGTGCTGCACTTTGCAAAGCTGGAAAGGCAAGTATCTTCCTGTTTGATCGTCTTCTGATTTAGGATAGTTCATTGTTTCCCATGATAACCAATCGTTTAACTCTATGTAAATTACCATCTTGTTTCCATGATTTAATTTCCTTGTTCACTGAACTTATGCTTGTTCACTTGTCTAATGTCTTCTTCTGCATAGTCACTTGTTTCCTTGAAAGAAGTTTTTACAGGATTCACTGAACTTATGCTTTTTCACTTGTCTAATGTCTTCTTCTGCGTAGTCATTTACATTTGGTACGTTCTTTACTAAATCATCTTTGTCCAAGGAATTTTCGCTGACTTTGAATTCCTATCATTGCTTAATTGTTGTGCGGTAACCAGAATTCATCTATCACGAATGGTGTTTTAGATGTAATTTTTGTATTTCAGGTTTATGCAGTTGCTTCTGAAGATATGGATTCCCTTACTTTTGGAGCTCCTAGATTTCTTCGCCATTTTATGGATCCCAGCTCAAGAAAAGTTCCAGTCATGGAATTTGAAATTTCAGGGTACTTAGAAAAGTTTATTCATTGCGATTGCTTAAATTTTTTTTTCCTCACTTTCATGACTTTTAGATCTTGGAGGAGATGAATCTGGATATGGATCAATTCATTGACCTTTGCATTCTCTCTGGATGTGACTATTGTGAAAGCATTCGAGGTAGACGTGATATTATTGCAGTGCTCTGTTAACTGTTTTATGCTATCGTATATCATTCTGCCCTCTCATATGTTTTAGATTGATGATTTCAGTGGCTTACTTTGGAATGAATTTATCAGGTATTGGAGGGCTGACTGCTCTTCAGCTCATCCGTCAACATGGTTCCATAGAAAACATACTAGAGAACATAAACAAGCAAAGGTGCTTCTTATTCTCTTATCTTGTCCCCCGACTTGTAAGCAAAATAAGGCAGCAAAGTTTCTCACTGTAATTGTCTTGGCTGCTGATTCCTTCACTTAAAAGAATTATCTCTCAAACTCAGCTGGAGCGGAAATATTTGATCAACACTTTGAAACTGAAAGATCATTTGCCACCAATAGATTTGGGCTGGCAATCAGTGCATCAACCATGCTACTTCATGTGTTGATTTACTATAATACTTTTATCTATTATGATGTCTGCTTTGTCTATTCTTTCGCTCTCACTTGAACAAAATTCGTTTCTCTATCCTTAAGACCAACCCGGAGGTTCTTTTGCATTACTTGGAAATCTTTATTCAGTTAAGTTATCCTTCTTAAGGAAATGTTTGCTTGTTTTTTGAATAGGTATCGAGATACCCGATAATTGGCCCTATGGCGAAGCTCGACTGCTTTTTAAGGAACCAATAGTTTCTACGGAAGAACAACCTGAGATAAAATGGACTGCTCCAAATGATGAAGTGGGCCATTTTCATGTTGGGATTTACTTGCAACATTTCACTTTTGAATTCTTGACTCATTTTCTAATTGATTGTTCTTTCCCTTTCAAGGGCTTAATGTCCTTTCTAGTGAATGAGAATGGGTTCAACATTGACAGAGTGACAAAGGTATGGCTTCTATCTTCAGTAATGTGTTGGTCAGTTGCCTACTCGAGGAAGTTGCTTCTTTTCCTCTGGAGGAGAGAGCATACATGTTTTCAATGTTGTTTTACCATGTGCAGCAGACGATAGAAGATTAAGGCAGCTAAGGATGAGTCATCACAAGGCCGGTAACTAAAGCGTGAATAAATGGAAGTGACTTCCAAAATGCACTTTCTTTCATCCGATGATTCCTCATTTATTTTCTACAGATTAGAATCCTTGTTTAAGCCAGCTAAGAATCTATCTATACCTGCTAAGAGGAAGGTATGTCATCTTGATATATTTGAGTACTGAGCACCTAGAA